ACTTTCGTCCAGTTACTATTTAGATTATTTTTTTTATTTGTGAAAAGAAAAATCTCAAATAACAAAACAGTCTACCACAAAACACGTAAAAAACCACAAGAACAAGTCCCCCCCATTTGTTTTTCCATTCTTAACTTATTTTTGGGAGGATTTTCATTTTTTCATTTTATTACACCATGTGTGATAAGCCATACATGGAAAAATGTCTGGGCAATTTTGGTGAAATTTTGTCAAAAGCAAAATCAGGTTTTCAAATTTTGCCAATCATTCCTAGAAACAAACAGATAATTTAAAGTTGGCAAACAGATAAATATATATTATGTGATCTTTAAAAATATATATATTATGGGAACTATTTAATCTGCAAAAGGATTTTTAATTCTTGCAGGCTTTCTCGTTACAGACTACATTGCAGCTAAGCATTGCAGCCTCATCTTGGACAATGAAGGAACATCAGCACATTGAAAAGGTCATCCTCTGCTCTTTCTTCCTATAATCAGTGGGCTTACAACACCCTATGTGATAGCATATTAGATGCTAAAACAAGCGGTGTGTGTGTTAAGAGCGCTACTACTGTTTGAATACAATTAAAAAATCATAAAATATAACAATAATATCTCACACTTAGGATGACCTGAATGCAAAATGACTCACATTTCACATTCCACCGGACCACTGGAGGTGGTCCGGTGGAACCCTTTGACAGATACAGCCGGGTGAAGCCCAGTGGTGTGGACGGCTGAGGGCATATATGCAGATGTCTGTCGCAAGGGAACTCAGCTGGCCGGGCTGAGCCGTTGCGGCCAAAGACACTGTATAACTGGATGCTGTGTGACGGTAACTGTCAGTGGCCGTCTCTATGTCAGATGTCTCAGGGGATAGAGTGGCAAAGTCGTGGGGAACGAACTTCGGCTTCAACAGTAGAAGGGGTGTTGCACAGCAGTAAAGGTGTTAGTATTTGAGGAAGAATAGCGCTACGCGTTTTGAGGCAATGCCTCTTTGTCAAGCTCGGGTAAAAGTGGAAGGACTTTCGTTCCCCACGACTTTGCCACTCTATCCCCTGAGATATCTGACATAGAGACGTCCACTGACAGTTACTGTCACACAGCACCCAGTTATACAGTGTCTTCGGCCGCAACGGCTCAGCCCGGCCAGCTGAGTTCCCTTGCGACAGACATCTGCATATATGCCCTCAGCCGTCCACACCACTGGGCTTCACCCGGCTGTATCTGTCAAAGGGTTCCACCGGACCACCTCCAGGGCTCCCCTGTATTGAAACAGTAGTAGCGTTCTTAACACACACACCGCTGCCTTTTGCTACCACAGGGTCCCTCTCCCTGTCTCTAAGAGCTCGCACACTGTTGCCACATCCCTGTTTTACTTTTTCCAGCCAAATTTGTTCCCCTGGGTAGTGCGCTTGTTCCTTTTAGTCCGAGCATATTAGATGCTGACAGGTGACCCCTATTAGACCCCTAGTGTCCCCTTTGCACTGCAAAGAATCTATTCAAGAACAGATCGCAATGTCTATGAAAGCTGAGGCACCGGAAGTGATGCAGATGTTCACCACTCTCTCCCCTCTGCTTGGTGACACCTGTGATGTTAGTCCCGGGCCTGCAGAAGGGGCAGGGGAGCCCAAGAAGCAAAGTGGAGGGTATCGGGTGGGGCATCGTCCTTATCGACCCATGGAAGCGATCTGGCAGCAGTTCAGCCACCAGAATCGCTTCCAGTGTAAAGCTGACTGTTGGTTTTATACAGCTGAACAGAGTCTATTTAGAGAGACCCGTTGCCAGCCACGTATGGCATACATTAATGGCAGGGAAAGGGTTAAAGGATATGTCTAGCCAAAACTTTTTTTGGGGGTAAGTTGTGGATAAGGATTACTTTTGGAGGACAGGTAGAACCCATGTGATATATTTCTGTCTGTGTCCCTTTAGCAGATGATTCTTTACCTTCTGTCTTGTGAAACGGTTATCAGAGGGACAGCCAAGGGCGTATTTACCATGAGTCAAACAAGGCGTTTGCCTGAAGTGGCACTTTGCAGGAGGCGGCATTTTTATCACCCCCCTGCAAAGAGGAAAGCTGGCAACAGGCGCACAAGATCAGGCAGCCTCGGCTGCCTAGTCAGGTGTCTGCTGGTTGGGCCTGGGAGCAAGCTGCTGGGTGTAAGAGGAGGCGTGGCCGGGGCCGAGGGAGACGCAGACCGCCCAACGGAGGCTGCGGCCGGCTCCAAGCAGCCTCCGCGGCTGCGGGAAGACACGATGCTGATAGGACCGAGGGAGACATGGCCCCGGCCGGCGGAGGCTGCTGCGGCTCTAGCAAGAAGCTTGGGCAGCTCGAGGAAGATGCTTCGGCAGCTGGAGGAAGAAGTGGCGTGTCCTGGAAGCAGGCTGGGGAGCTGCAGGTAAGAGGAGCAGCACATCTGCAGGGAAATGGACCCTGCACAGCCCAACATATATCCTGCACAGCCCACCTGAGAGTCTCTGTGCAAGGTCTATGGTGGGCTCTGGGGGGGTCTCTGGTGGGGTTTGCAGGGATTCAGGTAGGCTGTACAAGGTCTATAGTGGGATGTGCATGGTCTTTGGCGGTCTCAGCCTGAAACGCTGCAGAGCCCACCAGAGATCCTTTACAGCCCACCTTCCCTGCAACACTAAGGCCTCATTCACACTGCTTAGAGTCGGCAAGTACACATCTGTGCGGGTACCCGTGCTCGGACACAGACAGGATCCATCCTGTCTGCGTACGAGTACAGACATCTGCACCCGCACGGATGTGCAGTTCGGGGGAGCGTACGGCCACGTCCTCCCATAGAGAAGAACAGGCTGATGCGTAAAAATCACATGCAGCACCTGTCCTTCCTGGGAGCTGCCCGATACGGCTGTGCACGCTGCATGGATCTGTACGGGCCGACTCTTAAGCAGTGTGAATGAGCGCAACCTGTCAGAAGCTGTATCCAGCGACTTGGCAGGTTATGCAAAATGTCTTGAACAGGAAGGGGTAGGACAAATTTAGATGGGAGGGTGCCGAGTTTCATCTTGACTAGGGCAGCACGGAACCTAAATACACCGCCGGGGACAGCAAGAGTAGTTAAATCTACCTAAAGGAGCCCCAGATAGCATTAAAAACCCAACAGAGGTTATAATCCTTCCCCGTTCTACCTAGAACTAGAAAAATGTATAGGCTGTTATTGCTGGTCATCTGAAAATGTTTGTTGCCTGACTATCCTGAGGCTCCTTCTGTTTCAGTACTTTCTGAGTCACCGAATGGAAGCAAGAATGCAGCCTGTTCCGTGAAGGAATTGAAGCCAGTAGATCAGAATAGCAGTCAGGTAAGTAGCACTTATTCAGAAGAGGTTAGTAATAGAAGCCTACATATTCATCTCAGGAAGGCGTGAAGGTAGGTACATGAAATCTCATGTATATCATGCTTATTTAACACAATAAACATGAAGTACATAAAAGTTTGCATTTGTTGACATTAATCAACACTCGGAATGCCTACAACTTTAATTATGTAAAAATCTGGGCCCTCAGAGAACTGTATTAATTTACAAAGTGTGAACACGAGGATATATAAAGGTTTGACAGGTCTCACTCATTAAATACATTTATTTTCCCCATGCTTATTATAATAACCAACAAAACTGCGGCTTTCCCTGCTCCATAAAACAATTTATGGCAGACTTGGATCCCATTCTGCAAACTGTGGTTGGGACAAGAACTTTAATCAAAGTGAAATTCATATCCGTGATGTTAAGACTGGCTAAGATATTTTAATTAATTGAAAATGCTTATTAAAAATAACAAAGACATAATGCACATTATTCTGAAGCTGGTGACAACTTGGCGGGACCTAACCAGTTTATAATGGCATTTCAGACTAGTGGGGCTTTTTTTTTTTTTCTTTTTTTTTTTAATCACAAAATATGTTTTCTTTTGGAACATTGCAATGGGAATTTTTCTTAATAGACTAGCTTTTCATTGAAGTAAATTAGCAGAGTAAATTAAATCTGGACCCATGTTGGAGCTATGGATGGTCCTCCCAATCTCACCTCTCATATTTTAAAACTGAACAGCAACCAGACCGTAAAATACCCATTAAAAAAACCAGCAAAAGTGTGCTGTTTCAATAACGGGCCAGGTTGGTGATAGGTGTGGTAGCTAAATACATATTTGAAAAGCATTTGTGCAATGCCTCCATGCCAAATGATTTTAGTTCTTTTCATCCAGTCCCGAGAGACACACCAAGAGGCACCACAAGGCACCCTTATCAGCCAGGAAAGTGAGTCACTTTTGTCCACTGCAATTAAACAAAACTGCTTGGATGGTCACTGACCTATTCCACCCTAATTTGTTAAGTGGACGTTGAAGTAACTTCAGCTAACCATCATCAGAAATAAGCACTCAGTTCTCTTCTCAGATCAATCAAGAACAGGGGAGACATAGAAACATAGGAGACTAAGGGCCAAAAAAAAAACCAAGTGGTCCATCAAGTTTACCCCTTTTTAATTTTTTTTCTTTACTTTACCTTCTTTTATAGATCAAAGTTTGCCCCAAGCATTTTTAAATTTACTTACTGTTAACTGGCCTCTGCTTGAAGTTCCGCTCCAAGCATCAACTACCCTTTCGGTATAAAAAGAGTAGTTACTAGTCACTAGTTTGAGGTCATGCCCCCGTGTTCTTGATCTCAGCTTCATACTGAAAATATTGCCAACCTGAACCTTATTTTCTTCAACCTCTCCTGATTTTTTTTTCTCCTTAGATCCCTTTCACCATTGTTGTGGCTTTTCTCTGAACTTGTCCTATCTTATCAATATATTTTTTTAAGTGAGGTCTTCAGAACTGGGCACAGTATTCTAAATTAGGTCATACTAAAGTTCTGTATAGGGGAATCTGGACCTCCTTCCTCTTGTTGGTGACCCCTCTGGTGATAGCTAAAGTTCTACATAGGGTAATCTGGACCTCCTTCCTCCTGTTGGTGATCCTTCCGGTGATAGCTAAAGTTCTATATAGGGGAATCATGACCTCCTTACTCCTGTTGGTGATCCTTCTGGTGATAGCTAAAGTTCTACATAGGGGAATCTGGACCTCCTTCCTCCTGTTGGTGATCCTTCTGGTGATAGCTAAAGTTCTATATAGGGGAATCAGGATCTCCTTCCTCCTGTTGGTGATCCTTCTAGTGATAACCAAAGATCTAAATAGGGGAATCTGGATCTTCTTCTTCCTTTTGGTGATCTCTAGTGTCGCACTCAAGAATTCTATCTACTTGCCCCTCTGCCAGGCCACACTATTTGCTTATTTAGGGGGGCTTACTACCTGGATTTAATATGTAAAGGAAACCTGTGCTGAGTGGAATATAGGGCCTGCAAATCCTGTTCTTTCCTTCTGAAAATGCTAGTTGTTTGATGGCATGGTGATACTTTGATTTCAGTACTTTCTAACTACTAGCCCTAGACAAGCCTATAATCAGCAAATTCAGAGTGAAGTCAAAACATCTGACTTGTTCCAGGGTCATTGGCTGAAAGTATTAAAGCCAGAAGATAACCAGGACAGTTGTCATGATGTCACAACTCGCTCCTTCCATTTGTTTTCATGACATGACAGCTCACTGTCCTAAAAATGGCATGCATACAAATGTACGGCTCGAGTCCCGTGATGTTGCGGGCCTGCCAGACTAGAGCTCAGATTAAGAGTCTGGTATGGGATTTTAGGAGGGACCCCAGGTTTCTTTTCCATTTTATGAGCGTTGGGGTCCCGTTAAAATTCCTACCAGACCAGTGCTCAGATTAAGAGTCTGGTATGGGATTTTAGGGGGGACCCCAGGTTTCTTTTCCATTTTATGAGCGTTGGGGTCCCGTTAAAATTCCTACCAGACCTAAAGGGTTTGGTATGAATTTGTGGGGTTCCCCACGCTTTGTTTTTTTTATGTCGGGGGTTACCCCTAACATTCACATCAGACCTAAAGGGTCTGGTATGAATTGGGAGGGGATCCCATGCTGGGTTTTTTTACACTGACAGTTACAGAATGACTGAGCCGAATACTGCTTGGCTGCATTTGGCCAGTTACTCATTGCTGTTCAGCCCCTATGAGAATTGGGGTGAACTGCAGAGAAGGAACTGCCGAACGTTCCTTCAGCTGATCCAGATTTTGCGTCGGCTGAGGCAAACGGGTTCTTCCCTTCGGTTCGACCTTTGGTGCTGGGGCTGTTTGGCCGAAGCAAAGGGAGGTGAAACGAGCCAATTGCAACCAATGTACAGCTAAATATAGCCATACAGGGCTGCAGTGAATAGCCAAAGAGGCTTCGGCTCGCTTCACTTCGGCTCGGTTTGGCAGTTTAATGAATAACCCTCAATATGTTTTTGCAGTATAGGTCTTCATAACCAGGACTGTGGGGAAGTCAGAATGAAATTATACTTCATTTGCTGCCCTATGCTGATGAAATCTGGTATTTCAGGAGGAGGAGGTCACATGAATAATGCTTGCTATCTATTGTTTGTATGCAGTCCTTCGCTCCTATTTGCAGCTATGCCTTCTCTGCCCTAAAAATAATGAATAATATTTTAAAAATACAACTGGCTTCTGAGCACCTTAGAGGAGAAAGATTATGCTGGCAATGCAGATGAATTGCAGAAATACCTGGCCCCTGCTGTGTGCAGCCCAACCACTGCATCAATGCCAAAAAAAATACAGAAACAAATACTGTACAGAAAAAAAACTCACAAATGAAAAATATAAATAAATGTGACTAAAAAAAGAATAGCAGCTCTAGGGTAACACCGGCCAGGAAATGTCCACTTTATTATAAGAGAGGGGATGCATCACAAAGAGCTTGGACAAAGTGGGTTAAGAATGGTTGGACTTGGGGATGGTGATTGTGTAGCTTTTTTTGCAGCTCCAAAAGACAGCTGATGTTCCCTGCACCTGGAGCTGCACTGTTGTGACGGATCCCTCCCCTATATAAACGCGCAAACTGCGCGCTCCCGCACTGCTGAGGGACACGCCATTCCGCGCATAAGCGGTGGATTACCAGCACGGAAACGCGCCATAGCGGCGCATAGGAAGTGACATCACCTCCCCTATATAAACTCAGCGACAGTACCACCATGTTGCTGGTTTATCATCAGCTATTCCTTGTTCCTGTGATTCGTGAAAGCTTGCCTGATTCTTGTGACCCGGACTTCCTTGACTAACCTTGATTTCTGCCTGCCTTGAGCTCGGAACTGTTATTTGACCACTCTTTTGCCTAACCCTTTTTGTACCTGGATTGCCCGCTCGGATATTAACCTCGGCTCGTCTCATCGGATTATGGCTTGCACGGTGCTCAAAACCACTGGCACTCCTGCCACTTGTTGTCCCTCTAGGCTCTGTTCCCATCATCAGAGTCTCCCAGGACACAAGGTGCAAGGGAAGCCTCCTCTCACATCCGATCTCCCAGAAGGTACGTTACAACTGTACAATCACTGTACAATATTTCTGGCTATTGTCTCTTAAATAATATATTTTAATTTCTATTTCAAGATAAATCCTGCCTTTTCACTCCCTCTTATATTATGGCCTAACCAAACTGCTTACATACTGTCCAGCCACTGAACAATATTTGTGGCTATTGTCTCTCAGATGATACACTCTTATTTCAATTGCAAGATAAAACTTGTCTCTTTCTATTTGCTGCCTTTCAAGTGTGTGTGTGCACTGTTGTGACACTAGCCCAATTCTATTGACCATAAACCTGAATATTCACCTAATATTTATTGGGATTCAAAGAATGTGGAGTTGTGGTTCTGAAGTGGTTTTGTGGTACTGCGAAACAAGAAGCTTACAAACTATACTGGTAAACTGTAGTGCCACTGGCCAATTTGTATGAAGCTAAGGACTTTAGCTTTCTTTTTTTAAGCTTTCCTGTGGCTTTTGGATCTGTTGTGGCTGCCACCTTCACTGGTCAATTCAGGCGTGTAACCTGAGGTAAAAAAATAATAATAATCGGGCGTCTCAGCCAAAACTACCTCAAAAAGTCTATTTTCCCAGGTGGAATACATAAGATTGAGGTGCTGCCGCTGTATTTAAGCCCAGCTAAATGTGAACATTTTAAAATCAATTACACTAGCAAAATATGTGATGCCTGGATACAGTGTTAATAACGCTATCTGTACTGTTCTGTAATACCAAATACAACTTAAAGGAATCTCTCAAACTTGTAACTTAAAGGATTGGTGTTTTTCCATGTAGCCATGGCAGTTGCATTAAAAGAACCTTCTCCCCACTGCACGGTACTTTCTTAACCATTTTTTGCTTGTCCAACAGCTTAGGAAACACTGGGTGCTTACCATACAAGCCCGCCTAAGCTCTACTAATGCTTCAGTCGCAGCTCCGGTACAATCACTTGGCAAAAATTGTTATCTGATTACTACGAGTCCATGTTGCAATCCCCACCTAAGCACCACCCTTTTAACGCCTTTTCCCCTTAAAAAGACATTAAAGTCCAAAATTCGCCCCCATGCTACTTTAAGGACTTGATCCAACGGTTACTGCTGCGTCTTCTGTGTCTCACAGTGTCTGTGTGCATGCACGCTGCCCGGCTGCGTGTATTGATTTACCCTGTGTCTCTCCTCTTCTCCCTGCCAAAGATCTCTACTGCACATGTGCCCGCCCCATGATCCTTCGCGGCTGCCCGAGAATCTTCAGAACTTCGGATGGGAGCAAGTGGCGGAGACGCAGGTAAGTTTTAACCCTTTCGCTCATTTTAATTTTTTTATGTTTTTGCATATATCTACTGCTTGCTAGCAGTAAATACTGTATATGCAAAAAACCTCAAAGGTTTAATTATACTTTAAGGGTTTAATCATAGAGAAGAGGGGTGGTGCCTAGACGGGGATTGCATTATGGACTCATATTGATCAAATAAAGTTTTTGCTGAGTGATGGTACTGAAGGGGCGACCATTTGTTCTTTTGCAGTATTTTTTTGCTGTGCTAAATTTCCCCCATGGTAGTGCCCAGCTCCCCATGCCCTTTTTTTGACAATAGTTTGCCTATTACCCTTGAAAATGGGCAGAATTTAGTATCAATTTTGAATTGTTCCCTCACAGACTTCAATCGGATTCACTGCTAAATTCTATTTTCGCAAACAGAATTCAACGAACCCCCTACGAATCAAACTCGGGCAGATTCACCCTTCCCCATACTTATGAAAACAATGCACTCCCTGTGTGCTTGATATCTTATCTCAGCAGTTGTGAAGCAGAGATGAACAGTAATTGCAATGGTTAATCTACCTTGCCTCTAGTAGCTAATCTCCCTGAATTTAACACAATAGCCATAATATTGAAGAACAATCATGTACAAATGTGAAAGTCATAACAAAAATTACACTATGCTGCAATAATAGCATGAAATGTGGGCTTGCTGATAATACGCTCCACTTTCCCTTTAACCAGACATGAAGACACTTGCCTTATAGACATAGTGTGGCAGCACTTTAGACTTTATATACATTTCCACCTTGAAGACTCTTTTCTACTGCAAAGTAATACAGTAACAGGATTAAGGGATTTTGCAGGGCTGGATGACGATAAGAGGTTTTAACACAGTCTGGATTACTTGTGTGCTATTCAAGGAAAGCAAAAAGGTAGTCGGGCTTGAGTACACACAGACAGCTGGATAATGGAAAGAAGAGTAGGTGTCTCTTTCAGGGAAAAACACAGACATGAAATGAGTATAGGTGTTTAGTAGGTGATGTGTCAGACGCAATTGATATTTTACTGTTTTAATATGAATAATTAAACAATTATTAGATTACTGTAACCAGGTTAGAGGTATGCGACTGGTCGTCTTACCTACAAGAGAGAGTCTGATAGCTTAGCTGCGGGGCCCATACCAACTTTTAAGAAAAAATCTACTTTTTTGCTAGTCCTGCATTGAGGAAGGTTTAGAACATGTGACTCTGTTTAAAGTGTGTTTCCACTTTTGCAGTCAGTTTTGAGGAAACCCCATTATATGTTGGTTATGTCTTCCTATTCACACAGCATACGAAAAAATATTTTTTTTAAACTCTCTCCGCAGTGGAAATTGTGATGAGCCACTCACCTTGAGTGATATTGATATCTTTTTCAGGTACTTATACTAGCTGCACTTAAACATAGATGTAATGATTTATTGATATAAAGAGTGCATTAGATGTCTTTTTTAGGGCCCATTCACGCCATTAAGTTCTGTTGCAGTGTGTTTAACACCAGAAGGTGAATAGTACTGCAGTAAGGTGTGCTACCTCAGTGCACTGGTGCGAATGGGGCCTTACATCTACTTAGAGCTGAGCTTTATATTTTTCTGGTGACTCAAAATGATTATTATAAAAAAAGTTGTAAAATGATTTATTATAAAACAAAGAAAAACAAGAAAAAAAGACTAAAACAGCTTTCTTCAACCTTGATGCCTTTAAATTTTTGCACATTTCCATGGTGAAGGAGAGGCGGGCACCAGCACCATAGAAATGCATGTGGGGGGACTGCATCTAGGACCTGCGCACCAGCTGGTGTGCTGGTGACATTTCTTCAATTGATACCTGTAACCAGCTGTGCCATCCGCACTCACTACAAGCACCCTCCCCAGTTGTTGGGGCATCCGGTAAGGAGTGCAACAAGTTTCTTTCTATATGCATCTAGGACCTCCCTCAGCATTCATAGGGATAAAAGTCCACTTCCGTCCAGATCTGGTACACCTCCCGCCGTCTGCCATGCTGCCACAGTCACACTGTGGTGATTATTAAAAGGTAGGATTCTGATGTGAAAGAGACCTGAGGATTTTGATGGGAAGAGGGGCTTCTTATATGAAGGGGGCTCCTGATCTAAAGGAGGAATTGATGTGAAGGGGGGCCTCTCATGTGAAGTGGGAAGTCTTCTGATGTTAAGGGGGGTCTTTGATGTGAATATAGAAACTCCATGTTGTTTTGTTTGTTTGCGTGGTGTCCTCCCCTTAAACTCCATACCAGACCCCTATCTGGAATAAAGGTCTTGTCTAGATTTTGGGGGGGCAGCACATGTAATTTTTTACATTTATGTTTTTACATTTTAGACTGGGGTGCCTCGAGTTTTTGTATACTTTTAAAAGGTGTCGTGAATAAATAAAGGTTGAGCAATGCTGCTCTAAAATATACTCAAAGGCTTGGAGTTTTTAGACATGGCGAGGCTTAGAGAGGTTCTTTTTTTAAAAAGCACTTTGGAATTTGCATATTTCTTACATTAGGAGTAAATGATAAATACAAAAAAAGATCATCCATCATACCTTTTTTATTATTCATTTAAGCTAATCTTTCTGTGGTATTTACAATGTGCACAAAGAAATTTTTATCTGTTCCATTTTCTCCTGAGTTTCTTGTGCTGGATTTCCATAAATGTAAACACATTGGGAGGCAGATTTATATGCTTTCATGTATCTCGTAAGAAATGTTTCTTTTTAGTTGTTGCAGTTCCCTTTGTTAGGATACAATATGTGAACATCAAACCACTTTTATGTCGCTCCCATATATTTGTTTTACATTTATTTATTATCTGAGCAGTAAATAGTAAAAATATTTATTTTACAGATTTAACAGTAGACATTATGTTTTGTTCTGTTGCCATTTGAAATATTAAATATTTGCCAGAAATGATTTGTACATATATAGATCCATATTTTGTCCATTTTCTTTAAAATAATCACTTGTATGTCAGCGCTTTATCTGCTTTCTTTTGTATCAGTCCTCGCTGTGACATACTGAAGAAATTCTAACTTTTGACAGGATGAAGCATTTATAATACTTAAAAAAAATGTTTTTGTAAGTTCATATTTTCACGGCTCAGGAAAGGAATGAGCTTGTCTGTGACAAGTTAAAGTTAAACAGAAGCCCAAACTTTTTTTTTAGTTTTGGATAGAGCAAGGGAGGGTTATAACCCCTGTCGCCTTCATCTGTATGCCATTGGGGAGATTTCTCATCACTTCCTGTCCAATATCCACAACACAAAGTGAGGGAAGCAGGCACTGTTCAGCAGACAACTTCCCACCCTGCTCTGTTCATTTTGTATTATTCACCACCCCATTCTTTACACTGTGCTGTACACTCCCTATTCCACACAGTCTCATGCTGTATGCTGTGCTGTACAGTCACTCAGTGGGGCATGGAAAAGTGCCCTCTCTTTCATTGGTGTTAGTAGGACTCCCAATCAAACCAATTAAAGATTATTTCCTTTAACACCAACGCAAGAAGAAAATCTGTTTTTAGGAACCCCCCTCTTAAAGCAACCCTTTCCCTAGTTTCTCATGATGGCTCTAAGACCACCTTGTAAAAGAAGAAGATAAATGCATTTCTGGCAAGCTTATAACAATGGTGTATTGCAGATCTCTGGCTACCACTGGTATCTGACATTTCCAGGTGTGTCTATTGCTTGGTCCCCCTATAGGCACTGTATTTGCTCCTGCTAAAAGATACAGTAGTGATATAGGTGTCAGCAGGAGGAACCACAGTACACAAAGAGGGACCAGGTGTTGGACACACCCAGTAGTTTTCAATACCATCAGTAATACAGTGGAGTTTTAGGTCCCTGCCTGCCAGAAAGGTATTTAGGTATTTATCTATTTCTTTTACAGGCTAGAAACATTTCAATATATCTATCTACATGATAGGAAGTAAAGGGGAATCACATTTTTTTTATCTTTAGGTAAACTCTAAGGGTGCAATTTGCTTTAAATGGTTTCTGATGGTTATGGATGCTCCTTTCAACTATCCTGGACCTTTTCTTGTACCGAAAAAGGACCCTCATTTACCTTATTTCACTTTTTTTTATTCCAAAAGGAACTATGGCTGAATGTAATTCTGTCCAGAAAAGGAGCAACAGGTGAGACCATAGGAGAATGGTGCAGAGATTTTTTGTTTAAACGGGGGCAAGGGAAGGGATGGGGGTTTTCATTTAAGTGGAGTTAGGCTTCAAATCCATTTGGCTATCTGAAGTAGATGACCTAATGTCCAGTTTCTTTAGCCAGAAGCCAATTAAATGTGGTCCAATATCTTTGGAATGTATGAAACTCGGAGGAAACTCAGAGAAAGCCACAAGCGGTGGAAGAATATACCAGTCCCCACAGCTGTTTTTAAGATTCAGTCTCCACAATATAAGGTTGTATCTAGACAGCAGAATGTGGACAATAATCATTGGATGTAATTTGCAAATGACACAACCAACTCGAGTGTCTCTTTCAATAACTAGGATGTGTACAGGTCAACTCCCAAGCAAAAATTAACATTTCCGAGTCACAGAAATGTTATTTATAGTACACAAAAACTTTTCATGCACATTTGAAAATCTGGGCAGTGACTCAGCAATTGCTCCTAGCATACCATATTCCTTTAACCCCCAATAAATGAGCAGTATCAGTTAGTGCAAGGGCTGGATCTCAGTAACAAGAACAGAGGTCACAGCAATGACACACATCCTGCCCACTCTAAGCCTACTTAAACATTTCACTTAGAGGTGTCCAGGAAATGCATAGATAAAATTCTATGCGTCGAATCTATTGCCACAAATATTACCTTTCTACATGCATGCCTTAAACCAGGTCAACTATATATAACCTACTTTGGACCATAAGGTGAAGAAAAATACGTGATAAGTACTGCTACTCTGCTACTCTGACACACTGGTGTCAGCATTTTTAAGTCACCACCTTGAGCAAGCATGCAGATTTAGAAAGACAGAGAAAAGTCAGAAGTCCTTAATGGCATGCTTATTCGAGTCACTAAAAGTATTTAACTGTCAATGTTTTTCAATAATGTATCCTTATCAAACAAATATACATTGCACAGCACAGTATTTCTTAAAATTTTTGCTCAAGCACTCACAGTCATCATGTTTCCATGAATGGAGAAAAAACAGTTGGCTCCAACTCTCTCAGTTCCGCTTCATGGAACTTCCTGTCCAGTACAATAACACAAGGGACAGGGAAGTCTCCAGCAGCCATCCCTGTACTAGCTTGGGGAAGGGAGGAGGGAGGAAGGAGGAGCAGGGGAGTGACTTGCCTTGCTGTGCCTGTGTATTTGTGGAGACACACAGCTTAGTAGTACGCACAAGGAAGGCTCCAGGGTCAATATGACCGGCAAGCAAGTTACATTTTTAGATAAAAAAGATCAGCAATGGCAGCCTCATGTTCCTGTCATGACAGGTATACTTTAAGACAAATGTTTTGGGCCTATTTAATAATATAGTGCAAAGAACAGGGAACTGTCCACTATCTCAAAATAACTCAAAATAACCAAATATTAGTTTTCTTTGATGGTGGGCAGCAACAACCTTTATGGTCAACGAAAATTGATGTTTTACACTATGCAACCAACATTTTGTGGACACCTGACCATCACACCTATATAAGTTTGAGTGTAGTTTACATAGTTTACATAGAGTGTGTCTATGAGAATTTGTGCCCATTCAGCTAAAAGTGCATTTGTGAGGTCAGTACTGATGTTAGACAAGAAGACCTGGTTCACAATCGGCATTCCAATTCATCCCAAATGTGTTCAACAGGGTTGAGGTCTGGGCTCTGTTTAATTCACTCGTTTTCCTACAGCCTACAGCAAGAAAAGCTATTATTGCTGACGTCCTTCTGAAAATGTCAAGCCGACCCTGGCTTCAATACTTCTTTTAGTCACGGACTCAGAACAAATACAGATTTTAAAGTCTGAGTGAGGACAAAACTCCTGAACTAAATACTGGATCAACATAACAGCCAACTAGTTTTCTTTAAATTAAACTTAATCATTTGTTTCTATTTTGATTGTAGATAGCCACCGATGTTCATGATGGCAATAAACATATGTACAAGGAACATTCCCTAAAATCACTTCTGTATGATAACGTTAGATAAATACTGTACTGGAAGTGAGACACTATAGACAAGTAAATCCAGAATCCTGTAATTAGCTATAACCGGCACAGAATAAAGTTGTGGGTATTTCGGTAAGAGATGTTGTAGCTTTTGATGGTAACGTTAATTAAGAAGTGGAAAAAAAAATTGAACATCCAAGGTCTTCACCTGGCAACAAAATAATTGACTGGCACACTCCATTGGCTTAAAATACATAGTAACATCAGTAATGTTAAAGATAATCCAGCATGATAAAAAATCTCTTAAAGCACATAGCAGAGCCTGCATATGCAATTAATATATATGGCTTCCTCTGTGTTCATATAAAGTTATCAAATATACATAGAAACAAAGTTTTTTTAATTGTATAAGCTGCACTGATAAGGCTATCTACAACATGCTGCTCTGTTGTATATGTATATCTAAAACATAATTGAAAAGGTGCCTTTAAAGTAGTACTAAAGGCTGGGTGTTTTTTCCCTTAATGCATTTTCTGCATTAAGGGAAAAAACACCCAGCACTTTTCTAACACCCCCGCCCCCCCCTCCCCCCCCCAACACTTACCTGCAGCTGCTTGTATCCTCCGCTGCGACCGGGAAGAAACTCGGGGTTCCCCGTACTTCCTAGTTGTGGGGAATGGTACTGATGACAGAGGAGCCATAGGCACCTTCTGCCATCAGTCAAACTGTGACTGCTAGGTGTGGGCCCGGACATGAGCAGCCAGCTAGGTAATGGAGGCACTCGTATGGGAGGTGGGGCGGATCTAGCAGTTTGGATATCAATAAAGAACGAGGAAATAAAAAAAAAATAAAGAATAAAAAAAGTTTATTTCCTGGCAACAATAAATAGAAAAAGTTTTGAAAAAGGTTTAATATCACTTTACAGTAGAAGTAAACTCTAAGGCCCCATTTACATGGCCCCCCTCCTGATTGGAGCAGTACGGATCGGATGTCCGTTCAGTTTTTTCCTTCATCTTGCAATGGAGGAAAAACTAAAATGACCAGACCCCTTGTCGGTCTATGGGGAATCGGATGTAAATGGACATGTTTCCATTTACATCCGATTCCCCCCCAAACTGGCATGATCAGGTCCATCGAAACGGAACTCTGTTCTGTTTGCTTTTCCAGACCTGGCTGGAATCAGGGGTAACCGGGTCTAAATGGACTCTCATCCGTTGAGACCCGGCTTCCCATAAACTAGCATCGGGCATCCAATCCGGTCTGCATGAAAAACAGACAGACGGACTACCCGTATGAAAGGGACCTTACTGATTGATGGTCAACTTCATAAATAAAGATGGCCTGAAATGCGTTGGACTATGCCATTAAAGCCTATATGTGATTTTAGTGATTGGGTTTTCAAATATTTAAAAAAACAGTAAAAAAAATGTCAAGAGAAAGAGAGCGAAGGAAGGCAAAAAAAAAAGCAGGAATTAAAGAAGTGCGAAAAAAGAGTACTTGGCCTCAGTGATCTGCCGTAAACTGCTACATCTACCGGTCAGCTCACACACAGCACTGTAACTTGTAGCCCCCCGGTGTATAGAATGTTCCAAAGACAGGTACAAACTGAAAGCTACAACATGTGAAGCATGCCACTGGATGAAAAAAGTTAATATATTCAATCTGATCTTATGAGAAGGGCAGTATTACACTAATAACTCTTGACTATGTGCCTCTGACTACGCTTGTCAGTGTCACATTTCTGTTTCACATTAGGCAAACGCAGAAAGTTTTTTTCACTTCAAACACCACCTCTTTGATGCAATATCTTGATATATGTGGTTAGAGGAACTTCCGAGGAACATTTCCACAGTCAGGAAGTACGTGGACCTGCTCACATTTGGCATTCCAGAACAGTGGATCTTATTATCCAAGCAACCCCAAACATGTGGAGCATTTTAATTCCTATCCTAATCTAATTCCACAGCAGGCTGATTACGGTGAGAAAAAATTGTGTTATTCTAAACATTTCCTTTTCTCTATTGAGTAGCGGTATGAGTAAGTCCTGTCTTCATGGTAATAAAGGACCTCAAGAAGGATGTGGAATTGGTAACTTAAACTGTAGATGCAGCTAAATGGCTGAGAAAAAACACATCTCAGGAGTAAAAATAGATATTCCCCCTTCACTGGATCCCCAATCATTAAAGTAGAAGTAAACCCCAACTGGGTGATGTTTTGTTTGTTAGTTCTGTATCTCAAACAATTGTTGTGGCTCTATTCCATAAAATATTGTTTTCACCTTTTATATTCCTTTTTGCATCTCAGTGATAATCTCTTCTAACCTTTTCAGCTACTTCCTAGCCCCCATTCATGCCTGAGCAATTTGTTGCACTTTTCCCAAAGCGTGACAATGCTCAACATGAAGATTTCCATTATATTCAATGGTACCCATTCACACCTGAGGATCATTCTGCTCTTGTCACAAAAAACCTACATGAACTTTCTTTTTCTGCCAGAATCGCCTTCTTTTTGACCCATTGCCTTCACGGAGAGCACTTGCAAAACATGTGACACAAGTGTTTTAGCTCATTGTTGGCACAAAAACATTAACAACTTCCTCCCAGCAACATCAGACCTGTGAACAAAATAGTAGATTGAGTAATCTGCTATGCTATGCCGGATGTGAAGACTTTTATCTGCCAGGTGAGGGCACCTGAGAACTTCTATGAACCCAGTGATATCCATTACAAGAGCCCTGGCTAGGAGCAGAGGGCCTGGGAAGAGTTTGGCTGTGAAGCTCTCCTGAATTGGGAGCTTCAATAGCTCAAGACCCTCAACACCACGCAAAATAACCAGAAAGCAGATACAAGGACAACAACGATACATGATGTCACAGATGATACTACTTTTCATTAAGCAAAAGAAGAACACCTAAAGTTTGGAAACACATAAAAAAACGTTAAAGATGCACCAAAAAGCATGCAAAATGCCTTAAAATCACCTGAAAATGCTCATGCTCAAGTGTGCATAGGAGTTATATGCTCTTGCTCCAACATCAGCTGCATGCAGCTGCAATGCCCTTGTTTCCTAATAGTGACAACAATGGACCAAGTCTGGGCAATGTGCATCAACACAGAGGCATAGCAAGGTCATGAGGCAACCAGGGGCTAGTCTTTTATTGGCACCCCCCACAAACCAAACCATAGTTCAATGCTCTGGACCAATTGCTCCTCTGCCCTCAGGAGGGCTGTGCAGGGTCTTAGGAGGGCTGTGCAGAGTCTCAGGTGGGCTGTGAGGAGTCTCAGGTGGGCTGTGGGGGTTCTGGGACTTGTAGTGTCCGCCAGTGATGCATATGACAGTGTGACAACACAATAGTATACCTTGGAGACAGTTGTCCCCCAATAACAAGAATCACCTGAAGAAGGACCTTCATGGCAGGATCACAAGGTGTTACTTTAAAGAAAGCTGACGATTTAAAAAGTTTGAAAATATTTTTTTCAATTACATTAACATGTTAAATGACCCCACCACCTCACAGTCATTTCTAAACTAACCCACTTATTCTTCTGTGGCCACTACAGGTATTCCACACTTCCGGGTGGGAGTACCTAAGTTGGCAGGAGGAACCACAGTGTGCATCAGGGAGGAAGGGGGCTGGGGGTAATTCAACACACAGGAATTCAACAGGCTCAGCAGGCCTAAAATATGAAACTTTGCTTCAGAATAATACTATTATTATTATTATTATTATTTTTATTATTTTTGCCTTGACATATGCTTTAAAGAAATATCTGGCTGTCACTTTAATCAAGTAGGCTTTAGCAGGCTTTCAACAAGTTTCAATTAGTGCTGAAGCTCACTTAAACCTGCTAGCAGCTTATTTAAAGTGTCAATACTTCCATTAAAATCTGTGATTAACCTCCCGAAAACTAGAGGTGAATGGTGCATTAATGGTATCAGCAAATCTTCCCAATAATTGTGCAAGCTTGGCAAAGGCTTGCTGTACATACTGATCTCATACAAGCTGAAGCCTGTGTCAACAAAGCTACAGCTTACACTGTTGTTGTATACTTTGATAAGAAATGTATCTACTACTGGCATCCTCAATCTACTCTATCCTCTTTTGGCTCCAGATATTTGATAAGAAGCACATGATCAGTGAGGACTAAAAATGTAAAATTAAAGCCTCTTCTTGATACAAACAGGAAAAAAAGTGTTTCTTGAAATGCTCACTTTAACAAAAATAAAGTGTAACCAGATGAACAAGAAGAAGAGCATCGTTAGTAACAACACTAACAAAAATAATATTCCTTTCTAATTTGAACCTAATTCTCTTTCCTGCTATAACGTTACAATACAAATACAGCCTTTGCAGCTTATTGCTTCATGCAGGGTGTTGGAGGGGGGGTGTTGGTGATCATGTTCTGTGGGAGGAAAGGAGCGGTGTTGATGGGATGCTGGTGGTCCTTGAGGAGCAAGCAGCCGGCTATTACAGAGCCGCATCTGACGCGGGCGGGCTGACCAGGTGCGGATGGCAGAGAGGCAGCGGCGAGGGGACAGTCAGTGACGGGCCCCCTGATGGCCGCGGGCCCTCGGTCCGTGCCCGACTGCCCGAATGGTCAGTCCGCCCCTGGCTGGTGGTACACGCTAACAGCACTCTGGCTAGCGTCCTCGTGGTGAACCGCCCAGCTGCCTCATTATAGGGATGGCCCTATAATGAGGCAGCCCTATCTTGATTGGTCACACATCGGTTGTATATGCAGCTCACTTTTCCCATGTTGTTTGATATGTTAATGCTCCACCGGTGTGCCTTTGTGATACAATGTTTATCTTTGTATATACGCCTTTTGTTCTCTACTTCTTATTAGTTATTTCTATGAAATTTTGTAGTATTGTTGACCCTATCTTTTCCTTTTTTCTGTTTTGTGATTGTTACTCCTGTCAAAAAACCTTTGTTCAATAAAGAATTTATATAAAAGAAAAACTGATCTCTGGACACAAAGATGACTTGTGCAAAGATTTCGTACTCAGAGTTCAGCTTTAAGTGTTATATATGACATTTCTGAGATATATAATATATGAAATATAGATATATGTGTATATATATCTATATATACATATAGATATATATACACATACACACACATATTATATTTCAATATGAGTTTACCGATTTTACTTTGATTATATTATCATTATTGCATGTTAGCTTGAATCAATCCTGTGTTCTCAAAACAGTCTTTTCCCAAGGTGTAATATTAATTTTCAGAACGGTATGATTTTCTTCTACGTTTCTGATCATCCCAGAAAGCTGAAGAAGTGCTGAGCACATTTCTGTGGTCTTGACAAAAGACCATATTGTGTGTGAAATAGGCAGCGTCCCTGCAGACGGTACTAAATCAAACTCATTAATAGCCCATCGCTCAAGCAGCTTCTGACAAGTCTTACTGATAGCATCAGTTGAAGTAAACTGACACAGTGGCAGCAGAGAAGTCTGATTGCTGCTGACAAACCATCCCAGCACCATCTGCACAGTGTCAAGGGCTAGATGCTGCCATTCCCAGGTACTCCTGAAGTCCAAGAAGGTGAACTTTGTCTTGGGCCTCCTAACAAAGAGGCCTTTAATGGCCGGACAATAAAGGGTCCATAGACCTTTCAGGTTGTCTGATGACTATCATAATTAAATATAGTTGGAAACAACTGAGCTTTATAGTAAAACATTAAACCCATTGATAAATCATCTTCATCACAACAAGGCAGACAACTCTGGGTTTGTTTAAAGTTACAGAGAATGTTTTACTACTGGTCTGGCTGCGCAATGTTACAGCCACATGTGGAGCTGCGTGGAAAAACTCATTTGTTATATGGTAACATATCAACAATTATAATGAGTTTTTGGGCCACCAGGAAATCCATGGCTAGTTTCAATTTGTGTACCAAATATGTCACTTTAAGAATAATAAAATGTACGGATGTCCTTTTAGACAATTATTTAACAGAATAAAATATATGAAGCACTGAATTTATGCGACCGACGACGAAAGGGCCGCAGGATGTAAACAACATCTTTCTCATAAACTAGTTTATGTAAGGTTTTAATAACATGAATGAAGGAAAATATAAACCTTAAAGAGATTATGATGAGATCGCTGGCAGGCAGCTGGATAGTTAAGTTTGTGTACTTGTCTTCTGGGCCATCCCTATAATGAAGCAGCCTGATGCGCCTGCCTCATTGGGTGCCCAGCATCTCATTGGGTCACGTGGGGTGGCAGCAGGATGTGTGTCTGCAGCCCCCTTTCAAGCCAGAGCATCCCAGGTTGCTAGCTCTTACCAATCTGTGATGCTCTGGCCAGCATCCCATCCAGCTCCTGGCAACCAGTGATGTCAGTGAGCTGGGCGGGGCCCCATAAGACCCCCCTTTCCCCTAATGTGCACCATTGTCACACCGACACCGCCCCTTAACATGCACCAGCAGCACCCCCTAACCCGCCCCCCCATCAGGCATCGAATAGTCTAGGGACACCCTGCTTGTCTTGCATTGTCCTTTGGTCAATATCTTCTCACTAGGGATAAGCGAATCTGCTGGGTTTGCACAGCTTGCTTCAAGTTCAAAATTCGCAAGCATTGCAGCAAACCACATTGAAGTCTATGGGATGGGGGTGGAAATCTTGTTATTTAGTATTGGCAATTTATAGGGTTAATAAGAAAGCTATTGACAAACAGAAGGCATGCCATTGCCATGGGGAAATGTGGCAATGCACAAAAATGTAATAATGAATACAGTATCTCCCTACACAGAATTGTCAGCTCTC